TGTCGTGCATTGTTTTGGTGAGAGAGTGTTAAAGCACGAAAGGTGATGCCGTGTATTATTTTGGTGAGAAAGTGTTGAAGCACGAAGGGTGATGTCGTGCACTTGTCTTTGATTTCCTGAATTTTATTGATAACTGAGTTATGGTTTCTCTACATTTAATTGTTGGATTTCTGTTGATACTTGTTGTACCCCGCAGCATGATCCCCCTTCCTATCTTCAATTGAACTTTGGTGATCTTTATATTTATTCGTTGTTCTTATGTTATTATTCGATGTCCCCGCAACATGTGTTCCCCCTCCCATCCTTAGCTGTACATTTCTGCTTGTATTGTTCCGCTGTATATGATTTAACTGCATAGGTTTATTTTGATAGTCTGGTCCTAGCCTCGTCACTACTTCGCCGAGGTTAGGCTAGGGACTTACCAGCACATGGGGTCGGTTGTGTTGATACTACACTCTGCACTCTTTTGTGCAGATCCCAGTGCTGTAGATTTCGGACCACTGTGAGATTGCTGCTCCTTGTTCATCAGGACCCAAGGTAGTCCTGCAGGCGTCCGCAGGCCTTGGCGTCTCCTTCTATCTATTATTCCTATTTCCTTCTTGTATTTCCAGATACAGTGTTGTATTATTTCTTTCAGACCTTTATTTGTAGTAATCTTAGATAGTCTGTGAAGTTGTGACACCAGTCTTGGGTATATTTGTTATGGAATGGCATTAGCAATATTATTAAAACTTGGAATCCAAATCTTCCGCTTATTAAATTTTGTTGATTATTAACTGTTGGTTTATAACTGTTAACGGATTTAAAAATGGAAACGAGGTAATAATTCAGTTGATTGGCTTGCCTAGCTTTCACTAGTAGGCGCTATCACGACTCCCGAGGGTGGGAAATCCGGATCGTGACAATAGATAGATAGATAGATAGATAGATAGTAGATAGATAGATAGATAGATAGATAAGTACGTAACGTGAATATTAGTTTTAAATTTTATATTTCAGACTAGATGGTCATTTTTGAATTAATTGTATAATACTAAGAAGTTGTTTGGTTGAAATTAAGGTTATGCCAAGATTATAATTGTCACGACCCAAAATTCACCAGTCGTGGTGGCACCTAACCCAACCCGCTAGGTAAGCCAATTAACAATTATTAAATTCCATTTAACTTAATAAAACAATTAAACAACAAAATTATCTAAATCTTAAACATTTTCCCAAGGACTGGTAGTACAAATTATGAGCTTCTAAGAATAGAGTTTACAAAGCTGTTATGAAGAAAATACTTCTTCTGTTTGAAAAGTACATAAACATAATTTTATAATCCAGGCTACCGTGAACAAGAGGCAGCACACAGCGGGAATGCAGGTACGCCTTCAAATCCATCAACCATCGACCGCAGCAACATCAGCATCCGGGATCTGCACGCAATGTGCAGGAAGTGCAGTATGAGTACAACCGACTCCATATACTCAAAAAGTAACAAACCTAACCTCAGGTTGAAAGCAGTGACGAGCTAGTACATAGGTCGGGACCAACACAAATAACCAAGTAGTTCATACAGTGTACAACAAATAAATAAATAAATAAATAGAGTGCTCAGCCTTTTCATAGTTTTTCGAAAACAGTTACACTTTCAAGTATACCAATGAAAGCCCAACTCCTCTACCGAAATCGTAAAAGATATGAGTAAGTTTTTGAAAACTATAACTTTTTCCTGAAAATCCTTTCCACAATAGGTAAACATGTTTCATTTTCCTTTTTCAAATAACAAGTGTGAAATACCCCTCTATAACCACATATCAATGTATGTAAAAAGTTATGAATGGCATGATACCGTACGACATGAGGAAAAATGCGTCTATATGCATGTATGCCATATATGCATGTCAATGCCATGTACCTCAGAGATGAATCATGTACTCACACTCTCAGAGTACTCAACCTCACAGCCTCCTACTCAACCACCCGGTACTGTATATGGCCCATACGGCCCAGAAAAATCCATCCCGGAACATATACAACACTGTCTATAATTCGCCCAGTACTGAGGATGAAGGGTAATCCAACCCTGTGGAGAAATCCATCTCCAGGTATCAAGTATTTCGGACAAATCCATGCCCCGAGAAATCCATCCCTCAATAATATATAAATGCTCAACCACCCGGTATCGTATATGGTCCATGCGGCCCAAGGAAATCCATCCCGGAACATACTCAACAATGACTAGACGTCACTTGGTACCGAGAAAAAAGGGAAATCCATCCCTGTGGAGAAATCCATCTCCATATATCAATACTTCGGACAAATCCATGTCCAGGGAAATCCATCTCTCAATAATATCATCTGCGCTCATTGGGGGTGTGTTACAGACTCCGGAGGGGCTCCTACAGTCCAAGCGCTATCATAATCATCAATATAACCGCTGCGGCGTGCAGCTCGATCCCATAATTGTCGCTCATAATCAGGCTCTCGGCCTCACTCAGTCATCACTCTCCAGTCTCACCCATGGGCTTACAATGTCATGAAAACTGATCCGGAACAATGATATGATGTACCAATAAGTAACAATTGAGACTGAGACATGATATGAATGCATGAATGCGACTGAGTACGAAATATGAATGAACTCAATGCGATGACAACAAGAAACAACCACTATGGGTCCCAACAATATTAGCATAAAGCCTAAACATGATATCTAGCATGATGTACAACTCATTTACTTTATCACATGGTGAAACACAGATATCAACAAAAATAGGCCCACTACCGAGTGCCCTGGAAACAACAGAGTCACAATACACAGGGTGCACGCCCACACGCCCGTCACCTAGCATGTGCGTCACCTCAACACCAATCATATAGCACATAATTTAGGGTTTTATACCCTCAGCACTAAATTTAGAAGAGTTACTTATCTTAAACAAGCCAACTCCGACGCCGAGCAAGCCAAGCGATGCTCCAAGAAAGCCGTCACACGCGTAGTGATCTCCGAACGGCTCAACAATAGACAAAAGCAACTCAAATACATCAGATAAAACCCAAGGAAGCAATTACAAACGATACAGATCGAATCCGAAGTCAAATACCAAATCTAGCTAAAAATCACACCCGGGCCCGCGCCTCGAAACTCGACAAAACTCACAAAATCCGACAACTCATTCAATTACGAGTCCAACCATACTAGTTTCACTCAAATCCGACTCCAAATCGGTGTTCAAAACTCAAAAATTCATATTATGAAACTTTAGGCCAAAACCCTCAATTTCCTCTTTCAATTCATCAACCAAAAGCTAAAATCGAAGATAGATTCATGAAATATAACCAAGACCGAGTGTAGAACACTTACCCCAATCCTTGTGATGAAAATTGCTCCAAAATCGCCCCAATCCACACTTGAAAATGTAAAAATGAAGCCAAAATCGCGAACCCTTGTATTTAACATTATGTTCAGCTCCTCCGCATCTGCGGATACATAACCGCATATGCGGTGTCGCTTCTGCGGCATAACCTTCTGCTTCTGTGAGAATAACATTGCCAAAAAACCCTGCACCTGCGGATGCCAAATCCCGCTTTTGCGAAGCCTTACGCACTTGCGGTTCAAAAATCCGCATCTGCGCGCACGCAGGTGCGCTTCAAAATTCGCTCCTGCGGTCTTTCTCACCCAGCCACTTCTCGCTTCTGCGACTCCACGAACGCTCATGCGACAATCGCACCTGCGCAAACCAGCCACAGGTGCGGTCATACCAGAACCAGAAACCTTCAGCTATGCAACATGAAATGAAATTATCCGAAATCAACCCGAAACACGCCCGAGCCCCTCGTGGCCCCGTCCAAACATACCAACAAGTCACATAACATCACACGAACCTACTCGAGGCCTCAAAACGCACATGACCCGGAGGCCTCAATTCGAAATCATTGAACTTTGAAACTTCAACTTCCACAACCGATGACGAAACCTATCAAATCACGTCCGATTGACCTCAAATTTTGCACACAGGTCACATTAGACATTATGGACCTACTCCAACTTTCAGAATCAAAATCCGACACCGATATCAAAAAGTCCACTCCCGGTCAAACTTTCCTTCCAACTTTCGCCATTTCAAGCCAAATTCTACCAAGGGCCTCCAAATTATGATCGACGCGCTCCTAAGTCCAAAATCACCCAACGGAGCTAACGGAACCATAAGAAATCCAATCCGAGGTCAAATACTAAAAAGTCAAAACTTGGTCAAATCTTTTAAATTTAATGCTTCAAGTTGAGAATCATTCTTCCAAATCAATTTTGGATAACCTGAAAAACCAAAATCGACGATTCACATAAGTCATAATACATCACACGGAGCTACTCATGCCCTTAAACAACCGAGCGAAGTGCAATTGCTCAAAACGACCGGTCGGGTTGTTACAATAATATTATATTCTACATGAGATGGATAATATCAAGTATTTGGTATAAAATTTATACCAATATTAGTTAATATTAATAACAAAATGAATTCACTTAACTACTTATTCGTAAATTCAGATTCAGCACCTAAAAAATGAACTACTTAAATTTAGCTAATCCAAATAGTCAATCGTTTGGTTTGAATACAAGTTATGTTGAAATTAATTATCTAATATTTTTTTTTATTAACTGTTTTGAATATTGTAGTAATCTCTCAATTTATTGCTTTATCATGGGATAACTTATTTTGGGATTGCTATTTTTCTTTCTGACAGGTTTAAGTTATCCTAATTGTAATTTTTAATCCTAAAATAATTTATTCTTGATTAGTAATCAAGCCAAAAAAAATAGTATACCAAATTTTCATCCTAAAATTATTTCTGTTTATTCATCGTACGAAGCGACCGTTATGTGCTATTTGTGCTACTACTTATGTGCTACTAAAAAAAAAGATACGGGGATCTAAAGTATTATCGTAATTAAACCCAAAACAAGTGGCAGATGTTGTCATGGCAAGATATATATAACCAAGTTCATGACACTACTGCGCCGCTTACTGAAACTAGGGTTTCTCATGCGCAGCTCCTCTTAAGTATCGCCTCATCATCCCCTTCCCCAATACCCCCAAAGCAGTTCTAACCTCTCCTTCCCAACATGGCCGTCGGGTATCTCTCTTTAACGCTCATAGCATATTTCTGATTCATTTTTTCTTTTCAAATTCTAATCCTCTTTTGTTGTTCCATTGTGCAGCAAGAACAAGAGGATTTCCAAGGGAAAGAAGGGAGGAAAGAAGAAGGCGTAAGTAGCAGCACTAACACCTTATTCATTTGTCCGTTTGTTGTGTATGTGTAATGTGAGTAATACTTATATGGGGTGTATGTGTATGTGAATGTGGGATTGCAGGGCGGATCCGTACGCAAAGAAGGATTGGTATGACATTAAGGCACCATCAGTTTTTGATATCAAAAACGTTGGCAAAACCCTTGTTACTAGGACTCAGGGAACTAAGGTCTTTATCCCTTTTCCTCTCTACTTCGTTTTGTCCTTTACACTTCTTTCTACCTTGCGCTTGTTGATTTTATTATATCATTTGTTTTAAGTGTGTCTCGGTTATCTGTTTAGTTCTGAAGTACAAGGATGCCGAATTTACTAAAGTCAAAATTAAATGACATTATAGTGAAGAAATGTTCGATTGGCTCGGTGTAGGAGAGAACTGTTGGTTATTGGTAGTTAGGGCTTGGCTGTTTATTTAATTATGCAGTAATGCTCGATTTGTGGGTGTCGGGTAGTAACAGTATTCACACTTGTAAATATGTGGATGTCTTATGATAAATTTGGTTGGAAAGTGCTGCTATGCATCCTGAGGACCTGAACTTTACTAGTGATTGGTAATCTTAGAAATTAAAGTTAATGTTGCTAGTCGGTTAGGGTTGATTTCTCCTATAACTTCTCATAGAAACGTACAAGCTAAAATGTAATAAGTAATCTTGCAATTAACAACAGTCCAAAAAGATTCTATGACTATCTTTAAAATGGTGGGAGAACCATTTGTGTTGTGGCTATATGTTTTTTTTCCTTTCCTGTATGTGTGAATGATTATATATCTAGAGCATTGTTTCCTATTAGCTTTACTCTGCTTCTTATTATTTTTGATTTACCTGTTTTTCTTGGGTCTATTTACTGTGCTCCACTAAAAAAGATTAACTTTAAAACATATCTTTGTATCTCATAGAGGGCGTTAAAACCCTAAACCCTTTTCTTATCTTGGTTGTTTTCATTTTCTTTTTTTTCCTTATTTTCTTCAAATAGTTGTTATAAAATTGAAGAAATAAAAGAACAGCAGAGATTGTGTGTATCGGCATTGTGCTGTAATTGATGCACTTTTGTCGAAAGAGTTCTCTGCAATATTGATTTTTGAGGAAAATGGGCAGTTGTGTTTCATCAATTTCACTTGGAAATTTCAACAATCATTTTCCCCACATCTTTGCTATATCAATTGTCATTCTCAAAAAAGATTAAACTTTGATTTTTCATCTTTTGTATACTAAGAAAGCACATTTGTAATTGCAATTTCAATGAAATAATTATGTCCTTATTTTCCTCTCAGATTGCTTCAGAGGGACTTAAGCATAGAGTATTCGAAGTGAGTCTGGCTGATCTTCAAAAGGACGAGGATCAGGCTTTCAGGAAGATCAGGTTGAGAGCAGAGGATGTGCAAGGAAAGAATGTCCTCACAAACTTCTGGGTAAGATGATTCTTTTAGACAATCATATCTTTGCATTTGCTGCTGTAGATGGAGTTCTAACTTTGTTAAGTAATTACAGGGAATGGATTTTACAACTGACAAGTTGAGGTCACTGGTTCGCAAATGGCAGACTTTGATTGAGGCCCATGTGGATGTCAAAACTACCGACAGCTATACTCTGAGGATGTTCTGCATTGCTTTTACAAAGAAGCGTCCAAACCAGCAGAAGCGTACCTGTTATGCTCAGAGCAGCCAGATCCGTCAGGTTAGTAGTATTTTCAACTTGGTGTTGACTTACGGGAAGATATATGCTTATGGTTGTCATCATATCTCGCAAATTCACACAAGCATACCTTCCCTATTGTCTTAGATCCGTAGGAAGATGGTTGAGATCATGAGAAACCAAGCAAGTTCATGTGACCTGAAGGAGTTGGTTGCTAAATTCATCCCTGAATCAATTGGCAGAGAGATTGAGAAAGCAACTTCAAGCATCTTCCCCTTGCAAAATGTTTATATTCGAAAAGTCAAGATCCTCAAGGCCCCTAAGTTTGATATCGGCAAGCTGATGGAGGTATGTTATGTGTCTGTTCTTTGTCGTTTTGATTTAAACAGGGCGCATGGATTGTTTACTATGGCATTCATATTGTATACCAGCAGCTATTTGGTTATTAATTCCGAGTTATTCTCGTAGGTTCATGGTGATTATTCAGAAGATGTTGGTGTGAAGTTGGATCGGCCAGCTGATGAGACAGTAGCAGAGGCAGAACCCGAGGTTCCTGGAGCGTAGACTCGTTTCATCCTTCTGATGTATGTGATCGAATATGGTGATAGTCTTTAGAGCCTCACATTGTTTTAGTTGAGTTTTGTTGTGGCGATCTCAAAATTTTGCTTATTGTTCTTTGCCTATGTTTGTTTTATACATTATCATAGACCAAGATATGGTTTTTGCAATTATTTATCATAAACAAGGATTACATCTACTGCTAATTATCCCCTTTGTGCTTTTATCTCACTTTGAAACTTGGTGAGTCGTGCTATCTTTTTATGGATTTTGACAGCTGCAAATTTTGGAGGACAGTAAATGATGTGCTTGTGGACGAACTTTTTATTTCTTTAGAAAATACTGCTGGTTTTGATAAGTAATATTGAATATAATTCGTGAAATGTAAATTCCAATTTTGATAAAGCTATCACGTTCTGTCAACTAGTACTTGGCCTCCCTAGAAAACTTGGCCTCCCTTTTGTGGAATGCCAGCTTGTACCCGATTGCTCTCTTGGCGTTGTTTGGTTGGAAAACAAGTTAGTAGCAGGGATGCTTCTCGGTGGATTGGGCCGTTATTTATACTTAACGGTTTCGCATATCGGTATAACTATAATAATTCACTAGCTATCCAATAAGACAATCGGATATTGGACGATTATCGAACGGTTTGTCGGCTAAAGCAAATAGTCAATAATAGAGAAGTAGAGAACGAGAGAATTTGTCATATCGTGTGACTTCAGACTTCAAATGAAGCTGCTGCTGTCTAGCTAAGCAAATATGTTTGAAGAATCTTTTTTGAATGTTCTATGCCTTGGCTAATATCTATTCCTATACTATAAGTGGGGATAACCAGGCAGCTCATGGTCAACATGTCTGCCTGGCCATCCGAGGGTAAAAAAGCCCAATTTATTTACTGCTGACTTTTGCTATTTTCGGTCCAACACGTGGAGCCCAATTTTGACAGCTATTAAGTCACCATCTTACCAGACCCAACACTCACTGAAAAGCTCTATCTGCAAGCACCTCTTCTCTTCATACCTCTGTTATTCTTTTTCTCATCTTACGCTTCTTCTATTGATGATTTATTTCAGTCCTTGAGAATATGCTAGGTATTTGTGTTTTCTCCTGATTAGCGAGGGGATTCCTGCAGAGAAGGTGTAACATATTAATAGATTTTGTTCTCTAGGTGTTTGACAAAATTGTTCAACGAATCAGGTTCTGTTAGATTTCTTATGCATGCTCCTGTCTTTTGTATTCTCTGATTTCATTATTTGATTGCATTTTGAGTAAGGGCTTTCGTGTACTTTCTTTGTGCCCAATTTTCAATTGGATAATGATTATGATTCTCCTTTTTACTTAGTCCTTCTTCTGCATTGCCTAAATTAAACTGTCGATTTGTGCTTTTGTATTTTCGTATTTCTTCCTGCATCTTTTTAATTTGTGATGTATGTATTTATTTAGATTGTTCTATGTGAAGAGAAGAGCCAGTGATTAGTAATTTTTTTTTCCTTCAGTGAATAGCTTCACATATGAACTCCGTGCTACAAAACTGTTAGCCAGTTGCTCCTGAATTCAATATTCCTTTAGTAATATTGCTATTATTGAGTAAATTGTGGTTAGATACGAGTAGTTTGGAGGCAGATTCTAGGGGAAAGGCCCCGATAGAGTGAATTGACTGCAGAGTAAGGTAAGTGTTGAGTTTAACCTTGACTTGAGGGAATTATGAACCCTCGGACTATGTGCATTGTGAATTTCCTATGTTGCGGCGTATATGCGAGGTGACGAGTGCTTATACGCCGCCGAATTTCTTATTTTCCCTGATTTTCTGCTTTTCCTTAATTATCTCCTTCCATGTCGTAACTGTTGTGCCCTAAATGCCTTCCATGCTTTAATTGCTACATGTCAATCATTGTTTCTGCTGTTAGAATGTTAAGACCTCCTCATGTTTTTATGACTTACTGCTATTTGCCCTAATTGACGTATTTGCACCTTCTAATTGTCATTTGCTGGACTACCTCGCTATGTAGTATTTCGTATGTAGATTTCCAAGTTGGTGCAAGGTTTACTTTCTGTTTCAGCTTTATATTCATCAGTTATGGTGGTTCTTGTGATTTGAATTATTGAATTGACTGTGCTCATTGAGTATTTGGTACTGATATGGTGGGATCGAGTTGCACGCCGTAACAGGTGAAATAAGGGTGGATTGATATGGCGGAATAAGGGTGAATTTGTACTGATATGGTGGGATCGCATTGCACACCGCAACAGGTGAAATAAGGGTGGATTGATACGGTGAAATAAGGGTGAAATGTGACACTGATATTGTTATATGGTGGGATAGGATTGCCCGCCGCAACATTTATTTATTTTGATTGTTGATAATGTTACGATGGAATAAGGGAGGATTGTATTGAACGGTGGGATCAGGTTGCACGCCGCAACAACCTATGTGTTTCTATTTCCTTGAGCTGTGTTGGTTTTCTGTATTTTCATTGGGAACTCTAAGGATTGGTAATTCTGAACGTCACTAGCTTATTTCTTGAGGCTGTAGCTATTATCTTTAGTTGACTGACTTATTTCGTTCCGTATTTCCTTTTCTGTCTTTATTATATACTGCATACATGTTGTAGTGTGAGTGACCTGCCTTAGCCTCGTCACTACTTCGTCGAGGTTAGGCTCGGCACTTACAGAGTACATGGGGTCGGTTGTACTCATACTACACTCCGCACTTCTTGTGCAGATTTTGGAGCCAGTCCCAGCGGCGGTTATTAGCGTGCTCGGATTGGACAACTTATGGAGACTTGAGGTACAACTCCTCAGCGCCCGCAGCTCCTAGAGTCCCCTTCCCTTTTTATTTATGTTACACCCCATGTTTTCGTACGTAAGAGTACGTCGTAAGTCAATTGATGTAAGCTCAAAAAGGAAATCATCTTTGAAAAGTTTACAAAGTGAGTTAATCATGTTAACATGAAGGTTACAAATATTTAAGATCATGAGTACCAAGTACCAAGAGGGTTTGAATGAGCTAAACGAATTGAAGAAAATAAGTTTCGTCGAAAGTCGACAAGTTGGGAATGTTATAACATGTACTTTTGGGGTGAGACTATGTTGCTTAACATTATAAGGATATTATGTTATGAGCGTATGATAGTCACATGTTATGTTTTGAAGTCAAGCGAGTTGTGGAAAAAAAGTTGGAAAAGGTCATCACAGGTTACATTCATAAATTTGTTGAAACTTAGGTCAAATGTAGATGAGCTTTTCTCCCAATATACTTGGAATTAGGGGATTATCTACCTACCAAATTGAAGATCTACGAGTCTAGTTTCTAGCTCATTTAACCGTTCGTCGATACTACATTGGAGTAGAGAGATATTTGCATTTTCCCGAGATTACACAAAGCGGCTCCCATGGGACCCACAAAGTCGGTGTAAACTCCGGGTTGTATTTAAGTCAATTCTAAATCTTTTTCACTCATTTTTCTCGTCAAAAACAGTTCCTAGACCTCCCTAAATTCTCTCCAATGGTTCCTCCATGATTCTAGGGTGGAAACCTAAGATAAAGACATGAATCCAATGCTAGAAACCACGTGGTGCTTGCTAGATCGTAGTTCTTCATCTTATGGCTGTTTGGAGGGTTCTTCAAAGTGAAGTAACTTTATGTATCATGTGGTTCTTGTTGATTAAGGTAATAATCATTCCCTCCTTCATACATATTAGATTTTCAAGGTGAACTACAAGTGTTTATACTCCAACTTGAACACCAAAAGTTGATTCAAGAAGAGAATACAACACCCATAGTATTGTGGTGTCATTGAGGATAATTGTGGGCCGTGTTAGGCCGAAATTTCAAGTTTTTGCTACTGTATAAGGTGAGTATAACAGCCTACCAGTTGTGCTTAAGCTTGCTTGTATGTTGGTTAAGTTGTTAGGATGATAAACTACTAGATAATACTTGGATTAGCTTGAGATGTTGTTGTTCTTGATGGATTGATTTGAAAGTTGCTCTTATAAACTTTAAGTAGCTGAAAATTATGGAAAGTAAGTTGGCTATGATATTTTTGGTATGATTATGTTGGTTTTCATGTCAATCTTGTTGAGGAAATTGGTAACTAGAAAAGGAAATGGCTATAAAGCACTTGGAAGTTGTCGACAGTGATATTATCTTGTGTTGCACAATTTCAGATAACTTTAAAATTGAGTACAAGGTTGGAAATCCTTTAAAAGATATTGATTATTATACTGAATATATTACTAAGTTCAAGAATGAAGGATAATGCGGTTGAAGGGTGCTAAAGAGATTCAATCTGAACTTGCCACTCGTCGTGATATGTTGATCACTTGTTAACGAAATATTTTGTACCCTATTGTTGATGTTGTTTGTATTGTATTGCTCTGGTTGTTGTTGGTATATGGTATTGGAGGAGGCCCTTGTTACAGGGGAGATGGTGCCCAAATTTATATAAACGAGCTACTAGCTTAAATTACGGACATAGCCTTTACTCAGCACTGATTTTGAATCTCCTTATGATATGGTAGACTGAGTTGAGTTGTTTGAAGAGTTGCTTAGAAGCTATTAAGGTCTCAACGAGGTTAAGGTATGCTAAGGCTAAAACTTTCCTTCATTTTGGCATGATCCAGTAACTACATGTGTTTGATAACGAGACATAAGGAGAAGTTCATATTCTTGAATTTATGTACATTGTCCTAGTCTCATAAGTTACAACATTCTCCCTTATAGAGACTTCATATTCAGTTTAGTTTTGTCTTCTTTCAGCTAAGAGAGCAGAGAGTCTATATATATATAGTATTACATTATTTTCACCACCATCGAGCTATAATCGATGTGCAGGACCCTATTGGGCAACCTCTAATCATATGGTGAGTTATATACCGAGCCTACTGTGGCCGAGCGCCTATGAGAGAGCCCAGAATGGCCGAGATATAGAGCCTAGTATGGCGGAGCACCTCTATGCGAGCCTACTACGGCATAACAGTTACACATACCGAGCCTTATAAGGCCAGATAACTATTTTACTTACTATATTGAGAGAGTTGAGTCAGTATCAGCAGGTAAGCATATCTTCGGATTATCTTTGACTCCCAGTTACTTTCAGTTATTATATTATCAGTTCAATTTCAGCTTTCAGTTATTCTGTTGCCTTACATACTCGGTACATTATTTCGTACTGACGTCCCTTTTGCCGGGGACGCTGCATTTCATGCCTGCAGGTCCTCATTGACAGTTGGAC